GTATGTGTGTTGTCTATTATTTTATTATAATTATTAATAATTTTATTATTATTTTTTTTATATATATTTATTTATTGTCCAAAAAATACATCGTCATGTTCGATAATGGACTCTAATTGTATCTGTCGAAATTTTACGATCAGGTTTTGATATGATAAAAACTGCAATGTCATCTAAGCGGTAACGTGAGTCCTATAACAGCTGATTTGAACTATTTTTAGAATTTAACACTGTGACTATACAATAAAGTCATATTTTTAATATTAAATAATTAAATTTATTCCTATCTCATTTGTCACAATAGTCTAATTAACCAGCTGTTTATAAATAATACATTTATTTTTCTACTTTACCTCTTACTTCATTTCCTAAATATAAATATTTATAACATATACTACAAATTATAAAAACGAATAGCATAAATTAATACATTTATGATAATTCACAAAACTGTTTGTTTAAAATTATTTTAGCCTAATTAAACATGATACAAATGTGCTATAAATAATATAATTAGTTATAGTTTATATGGCATATATCAAAATCAATATAAATTATGAAACTTAAATAAAAAAATCTAATGTAAATAAAATTATCATTTACATTAAAAATTATGTTCTATTGTAAGAAGCACATAAAAATTAAATGAAGAAAAAAAAGAATAAAAAGAAAGTCAATGGTACATATGTTTCTCTTTTGTTTCGATTTATTGGATTTAGATCTTTTCAAATAATAATCTTGCTTACCTTTCGTAGCGATCGACATTTTGTAATATTAATGACAAATTTAACATTTAATAATTAAAAATTAGAATTAATTTTTTAACGAGACTATTTGAGGAATGAAAAATAATAACACACTGATTTCTGTCACATCATTCACTAGTATTTATTTAGAGTGCTGTATCACCATGAATTGAAGTGGGGATGATTGTAGAGAAAATATTAATGACGGGACGATCGAATTCGGTACCCTGATCTTAAAACAAATTTTATTTTTATGAAATAGAATTAACAATATTAATAAATTTATTAATTAACATTTTTCTATATTATATCACATTCATATAAGACAAAAATATAATTAACAAATAGTAAAGAAATAATTTTGCATTTTTCTTTCAAATTTTATTTCTATTATTTGTTAAATACCATAGAAGAAATTCAACTTTAATTGAAAATAATCTAACGGCTTTTTCTTTTGTATAGTAACGATAAGACTATTAGTACTGATTGATAATACATTTAAAAATGTTCAAAGTCCAAAGTAACAAGCAATAGATATCTTTAGATTTTTGATGTGTATTATGATTCAATGAAATAAATTTCTTTTTATTTTGTTTCATGTTTTTATTTTCAACGTAATCACAATTTAATAATACAAATATAAAATATACTAAAAGAATTCTTGTACTCATCATTGTAATATTAAATCATGAATAAATATAAAAATGAATAGAAACAATACAAATATATTTAAATATCTATCATTGTAAGCATATATTTGGAACAATATTAGGAAACAATTCTAAGTACTAAGTGTATACTAAATCCATCTATAATTATGTTTATAATTCTATGCATAGATCATATATACAGGATATAAAAAAAGAAAAAATTTTCTATATTTAGATAAAACATATTGTACTGATTGTAAATAACAAAGTCTATATAAACATCTAAGTCTAAAGATTATACGTATAATATGTATGCCTATAATTTTAAACGTTTTAAACAAAAAATGTAAGATTACGACACACAAAACGGAAGATTGTAACCACACAGTAGTTCAAGTATTTCTTACATTTCTACGAGATTATACGATTAAAACTTTTATTATATCTTCTGTCACTATAAACAGTCAAATTATAATTCATGCATCGATAAGATAAATGCACATGTAAATATTTATACGAACATAATTAGTAGAATGAACTTTGGACTAATAGGATAGATAGATATTAAGAATCATTTCTTAATTTCATATAATCTATTATATAAGTATGCGATGAAATAAATTATTTCTAACGATTGGAAATAATTTCAGTTTTAATTCTTTGTATTTAAATTTCTATATTACATAGAAACTTATTGTTATTCTATAAAGAATTATACCTTTATGTTAAAAAGTGCAAGTTAACTTATTAACAATCATTTTCTAATTTAGAAAATATTTCTATTTATACTACTAATCATTCTCAAGAAGTTGTATTACAATAAATATTGTATTATATTTACAATTAACAAAATAAAATAGTCACATTTCGCATATTCTTACTATTTATATTTCTTAGTAAATAACTTTTAAATATTTATTAATGGAAAATAATAAAAGAAATCATTATTTTTAATAACTATTAATAAAAAGCAAGAAATTTTTTGTAATCTATTTTGTTATAAGGCAATTACCAGGACAACCAATTATTGGCACACACTTTGTTTTTTATTTATCGAGTAAAATTCAATGTACTCTAGTTAATTTATGGTTTTTAGAGATATATATATAACAAGTACAGAATAAAATTATGAAAACATGTTTTTTTGTTTGTTTGTTACTTATACTATTTTGATAAATACATGGACTAAAATAAAAAATTATATAATAACGTTAGTCAATTAATATCTACATCAATGCTATTTGTTTTTATATAGACTATTTTTGGAAAATATACAAAGTAAGGTAAAAAGTTTCCTCTAGTGTGATTTCAATAACAATACATTCTATGTTTATAAGAGAGATCGTTTTAATTAACTATTACAAAAAATGTTATCATTTTTCTTCTATTTGCTCACTAATACCTGCTTGTTTAGCACATTCCAACCCCTAAAAATAATTTCATTACAAAATATCATATATTATTTATATCTTTTTAATTAATAATTTAAAATCTGCTTTATATAAAATTTCTTGTTATGAAGTATTTTTTTATACTTACATATATGTAAATTTTATGCATTTGTTCAGCTGCTTGAACTGACGAAAAGACTGCTTTCAAAATGCGACTCGCAGGAGGTTCCAAAGCATGATCAATGGCAGTCCAAATACATGTTTTTTCATTGAGCTTGAAACGATTTTAAAAAAGAATATATTTTAAATAATATATTATATATTACAACAAAATGATTTATAACTATTTCAACAAAATTTCTATTTCTACTATATATTTTTTAAACAAAAATCAAATATATATATTACCTCCATTTCGGTGGTCATAGTAATTATCGTATTACTCAAACATTCTCCAGTTTCATCAGCCCTTAATATTATTTTTTCACCAAAAATATTTGAGTCATAATATACTGCTAATGTTCCTAAAGCTATTTGTACCCATGCGGGTTCAAATAATCCTATTGTATTATTTGATTTAGTATATAATGTTGCTCTTTTTTCAAATAATATTGAGCCTTCATCGTCCTCGTCAATATCCTCTTGATCATCAATTTTATCATCAAACTCTTCGACACATTCCTCTTTATCTTCTTGCACAATTTCACTGTTATACTTGATATCTATATAACAAATATAGATGCATATAAAAACAAAGACATAATCTATTATTATATTTAATTATAAAATTCAAATATTGATGTAAACTGATTACAAATTCAGTAAATAACATTTTTAAACTTACATAATATAATAAAATAAATAAATCGTGTGTCATTATATTCGGTATTGGCAGCGTTAATGTTATTGATAATTTTTTATTATTTAATGTATACTTTTTAGAGAAATCATGTGATCGTAAACCATTGATCTATTATCAAAGATTTTCATAAATTAACATTTTCATTTAATTGTTGTTATCATTATTATTATTATATCAATACAGTGTATTACAAATAAAAAACCTTATTTTAAAACACAATGATAAAATATAAAACATAATATTTGAAAATTACGAAGAATAATAAATAAATGAAAAAAAAGCAAACAAAAAATGAAATTCGTGTCCTTCTGATTTTTTATATGTTATAAATGAAAATATTTAAAATATAAATGTGATGAACAACTTTACTTTTAATAACTTTTACAAATAATCTTTCATTAAATATTGTACTGAATTATATTACATATTCATAATTATATCTATTTATTTTTGACCTATACAAATAATATTGGTTTAATATTAACCAAAAAAATGTTACATTTATTTATTCTTATACATTCGCCAATTTAATATAAAACATATTTATTTATTTACTGGAAAGAGAAATTATGTATGAAAAATTGTAATCGGTTCAAAATTAATACAAATATTAAATATGATGTATTGATCAAAGGAATTTCTTAAATTAAAATAATATTTCGATAAATTGAACAACACTCTGTTCGCAAACAAATATCATTTAATACCGCCAACAAGATTATATTTTATGCAAATATTTTAATATGAAAGTTATATATTAAATGTAAAAATGCATTTTCATAGCTCACTTATAATAGTTTTCTAATATTTTATTCTAAAACATTCAAACTAAAAATGAAATAATTATGTTATATTAATAAATATATATCTATATGGAAAAAATTTTCTATTGCCTATTAGAAAATAAATTTTCATTACAAATTTGTTTTGTAAGATGTTAAATAATTTCAAAATGGTATGAAAATCTTAAAAAATATTTTATACAAAAGGTAATCGAAAAAATTATGCAAACTGTTTATAAAAAAACAATAAACTGTTGTAAATATAATATTTCCAATACGTTAATCATCAATTCAAATAAAGCATTATATGTATTTTTACATTTTTTATATACACTTACATTTACAGCAATTTTATACAATTAACATTTCACAAAAAAAGTATATCACTAATTATAAAATTGAATATTGTTATACATATATAAATATAATTTTAAAGAATACTACATAATACAAAAAGAAAAAAAGAAAATAAACGAATATTTCAATTTCATGCAGTAAAGTTTTCATTACGAACATCGGCAATAACTATTAAGCAAAAAAATAAGATTAGCTACCTTGTTCATTTTGTCTTTCACGTAGTGTTTCTTGTATACTGTCAATGATTTCCTTAAATTTTACAGCCAATTCTGGTGTTTTAAATTTAACTGCAAGTTCTTCGACAGTTGGAGGTTCTTCTGCATGATTCATACCTGCCCATATCCATGCTCGATTCGATGTAGAAAGAGGACGGAATTCTGTATCCTGGGTAATTAGAAAATTACATACAACTTTATAAACTTGTTCTCTACGTAACAATAATCGATATGTTCCATATTCGGCATGATACAAAATTTTCATTTCTCCGACTCCTCTTTCTTTCCATTCTTTTGTTGCATTATCGTATCTATATAATTTGGCTCTATTACAAAACTCTGCAAACATATTTACAATCCATTTAATATTATATTATGTAGGTATAAATAAGATCAAAAAGATAAACAAGCTTAAATCGAAATAATTACTTTTTATTTCATCTTCTTCGCCAGTTCGTACTTCAATAGCATCCGGCAATGGAATAATAGGTTCAAAATGTGGATCATGTTCCTGATCGTTTTCATTCTCATTACCCTCATCTTCATCGTTATCATCTTTTTTATTTGCATCTAATTGGTTTTGTTTTGATTCTGTTTTTGTTGATGTTGTTCTAGAACCAAATACGGACGAACCAGTTCCAGCAAAAGAAAATGTTGGATCTGTGGAAGAAAAAATGATATAATGCATTGTAATATTTTTTTTGTGCAAATAATTAACTACAATAATTCATACCTTGTTTAAAAGCTTCTGTTGGTTGAGATTTCTGAGCTAATGCAGAAAATGTTAAATTACTATGCATAAAGAAAGTAGGTGCATCATCTTCTTTCTTGGACGTGTCTTCTGCTAATGTAGTATCAGTTGAACCGAAAGTTATATTACTTGAAAATGGCGTTGTAGTACCAAATACTGATGTTTTCAAAGTAGGTGGATTTGCTATTATACTGGGTGTAGTGCTAAATATTGCTGCTGAAGTAGTAGTCCCAGTTGTTGCTGGTAAATTACTAAATGTATTTGTAAATGTTAATGATGAACTGCTTCCTGTCGTGTTTAAAAATGAGTTTGTTAATCCTGTATCCACTGGTTTTGATATACTTTCAAAAACTTGATTTTTAGTATTTTCAAATGTAGGCGTTATAGTTGTACTGGCAGGAAGAGTAAATTGTGGCGTGTTAAGTATTTTTCCATGAGAACTAGGAAAACTGCTAGATTGTTGATTTGCACCAACTGGCTCACAAATTTTGACATTACTATTACCAAACCATTTTGTTAACGTATTATTTGGGTCCTCTGTAGGTTTATTAGGCTGACCAATTGATTCACTCATTATCAATTTATCATTTATTGTCGATTGAGAAGATGGTGCTCCAAATATAAAGCCAGTTGATTTCTTGTCATTGAAAACAGTGGATTTGTTCTCTCCAAAAGATAATGAAGCAGCACTGAATATATTAGAAGTAGTAATTGTATTTTGTTTAATCGTTGCTGTATTACTTATTGCATCAGTATTATCTGATTTTGTCATAAATGAAATTCTAGGAGACGCATTTATTTGATCTTTTTCATTTCCATTATCTGAAGTTTTAATTTCACTAATGTGCGAATTTAGATTCATAGGAATACTATACGTCTTTGGAGTTGAGATAGTTGAACTTAAAGTTCCTTTAGTCTTTAATTCTCCTTGAGATTGCGAATCTTCAATCGGAGGTGTTAAATCTTTGCATCCTATACATCCTGGACAATCTTCCATTTGCTTGTAAGCATAAAAATTCTCTGGCAGTTGTAATTTTAAAGCAGCAGCTTTTTCTTCGGGTGTAACTTTAAATTCATATACAACTTGAATATCTTGAGAAGGTTTTGCTCTTTGTTGTTGTACTAGTTCTTCTTGAATAATTTCATTATTTGGCGATAAATTATCCGATTCTCTGGCATTGTCAATAGCTCTTTTAAAATCAGCTGCAATTTCAGAAGTTTTAAAACGACACGCAAATTGCATATACTCAATTTCTCCTTCGCTGTAATCCGCAGCATTCCACAGCCAAGTTTTTTCATCTTTTGGTTTAAATTCTACTTCAGGCAAAAGACAATGATTTAAACATAACTTCAATACTTGATCTCGTCTCATTATTAATCTCAATTTTTTAGTTTGATGATGTCTTAATAATTTAATATCACCCAATCCACGTTCCTTCCATTCTTTAGCTGCAGAATCATACCTGAATAATTTAGCTCTATGACTATAAAGTATTTCCTCGTCTTCTTCCCCAGTTTTAACTTCTATCTCGTCTGGCATTGGAATTATAGGTGAAAAATGTATGTCATCGCTTTCAACGACTTCTTCGTCGCTTGTTTCTCCTCCGCCAGGTGATTTTACGGGCGATTTTGCTGTAAAATTAAATCCAAAAGACTTCCCAGGAGAACCAAATACAAATTGTGTTGTACCTTGAGACGGTTGAGTACTTGGTGGTTGTGACGTTCCTCCAAATATGCTTTTCATATCTGTACTAGTTTTTATTCCTACATTAGGTTGTACTTTATTTACAGACTCGTCTTTATCCGTTTCTAATGATTTGTTCAATCGGAATGTAAATCCTCCACTTGTATCTTTAACAGATTCTTGAGGAATACCAAAAGTAAATGTAGATATGGACTCAGAAGATATTGAACCTACATTGAAACCACTTGTTTTTGGTTTAGGTGGCATTGATGGATCTTTGGGACTATCACAAGCAACACAATAATTATGTGTTTCCAAATTTGTAATATAACATGCTTTACATTCCCATGAACCAGAAGGTTTTTTGAATAACTGAGAAAGTGGTACTTGTTGAGTATATGCTGTGGACTCGACTGTTCCAGTAGGTGCATTAGTAGTTGCAAGTGGAGACGATTCTCCGCATGCTAAACATTTTGATTGTTTACCATCATTTCTAGTATAACACGCATTACATTCCCAAGATCCTGGAGAAGGTTTAAATAATTCTGCTAAAGGTACTTGTTTATTTTCTGCATTTACATTGTTATTTCCATTTGAGGTTTCAGATGTTTTCTGTTTCTGCTGATCGTTTGTAATAATATCATAGAATTTTGATGCATGCTCTGGACTTTTAAAAATTAAAGAATATGATTCCAATTTATTTTCTCCTGTAGCATCAAAAACTATCCAAGTAATTAAATTTTTGTTAATAGGTTTAATTTTAAATTTCATTTCTGGTAATATCTGTTGATTATATATAACTTGGGAATCCTCTTCTCTATGCATTAATAAATTCAAATTTCCTGTTTTTATATTCAATATAATTTTCATCTGTCCAGCACCTTTATTCTCCCAATTTTTATTATCTTTGTATTGTCGTTGAAGATTTGCTTTTTGTTCAAATAAAACTTTTGTTTCACCTTCTTCTTGGCCAGGTAATACAGATTTTTGAGTGATACCGCTTGTAGTACTTGTGATGTTTAATATCGCAGGTGCAAGTGCAGGTGCATGCGGTCTTCTCAATGAGACACGAGATGCCGAAGTTGTAGAAACAATTGCTGCTGTTTGAGACGCAGTGACTGTAGTTACATCGCGTACACCAATAGAAACAGAAGTTGTTGTTGGTTCAGAATAAGTAGAAGAGATTGGGTTTGCTTTTAAGAAAGAAAAAATAGTTGCTTGCGTTGTCACAGGTGTAGACACATTTTTTGATGCTACAGAGCTGACTGCAATCTCTGGTGTTTTATTAAAGTCAGGTTTATTGAATGAAAAACCTATAAATGGGCTTACTTTTGGTGTTTCATTTTGTTTTTGGGATGCGTTTTCTATTTCAGTAGAAACCGTTTGAATAATCGGCTTTGAAGTAAAGGAAAATCCACCAACAATTGCTGCTGCTGTTGTAGCAGGTTTTTCTTTATCTAATGGCACATTATTCGTGATTGTTGAAGATGATAAATTATTTTCCTCTTCCGAAACTTTAACAGTCGTCGTTATAGATTTATTATCATTTTCATTAATTACTTTTTCATTTATAGATGATAAGCTGGCTCTAGCATCATCGAAATGTTGTTTGAACGAGAGAGCTTCTTCAGTAGTTTTGAATCTGATACAAAGTCTTTCAACTTTAACTTCTTCGTCTGCAAAATCATTTGCAACCCAAATCCATGCTCTATTAGTATTTGGCATACTAGTTAACTCCATGTCAGGTCTTAACATATGATTAGCACAGATTTTTAAAACTTGTTCTCTGCGCATCAACAAACGAACTTTACCTTCTGCATTTCGTAATAATTTAACATTTCCAATGCCACGTTCTTTCCATTCTTTATCGACAAAACGGAAAAGTTTCGCACGCGCACAATATAACGTAGTTTCGTCTTCTTCGCCTGTTTTAACTTTAACTTCAGCAGGTAATGGTATGACAGGAACAAAATCTGGTATTGGATCGTGTTCTGATTCGTGCATTAACTCAGCAGAACTATTCGGTGAATCACTTGAACGTATTTCAATGTTATTACTTTTTGATGTCTCTGATAAAGAAATATTTGCTGGCGTTGATGTAAGTGTTGTAGATAGGGGTGGTAAATTAACAGTTGTTGGAATAGTTGCTTGAGATGGCATAGAAATTTGATAACAATGTGGAACATTTTGTGTTTCTATAGTAGTTGTAACAGTTGAAGTATTTCCCATTCTATATTGAGCGGGGATAGTAACACTCAGAGTAGGTTGCACTAATGGTACTGTAGTTGGTAGTGTATCTGAAGTAGTTATTACAACATTAACAGGTGGAAGTTTCTTATTAGAAGTATCTTTTACTATAGATTGAGGTTTTGTCACTTCTACTTTCTGCATTGGTATTTGCAACGGTACATTAGTTTGAGGTGTTATAAGATCATTCAATTGAGTTGCCAATCTTGATGCAGCAAAAAGACCTTGTTGCAACATGTCTGGTACTTTAGGTCGATTAGGATACAATACAGGCATCGGATAAACACTCGGAGGATATAGCGGTGGAATTGCTTGTGCATTTGGATCAGTAAATGGTATTGTTCCTTGATAATAACCTTGGAAAGCTGTTGCTGGTGGGTATACTAATGGTGAATAAGGATGTCTATGAGATGGTGGAAAAATGTTTCCGGAAATAGTAGATGCTTGAGCTGACTGATTGGTGGTATAATTTATATCACCGTAATCTTCTTCGCCAAGAACGTATAAATCATCTTCTATATTAGAGTTAAAGTTAGTTGGTTGAATACGTGGTGGTTGCTGTTGTTGTTGTTGTTGCTGTTTTTGAGAGTCTTTTCTTAACTCTGCCATTTCTTTTGTTAATTCATCTATCTTTTCTATTATAGTTTTATTTTGTTCTATGATTGTTTGCATAACAGTATCTTTAGCATGTATCATTTGACGTATCTGAGCATCAAGCCGTTCAGGACTTGGACGTGCTTCCTAAAAATATAAATTATTTTAAAAACTACTTCATTTTCTCCATAAATAATTAAATATATATATATATATATATATATATATATANATATATATGTATATAAAACTTATGAAATTACTGTGCGATTTCTTGATAAGTCTATAATATCTTGATTTTGTGCTCTACAAGGTGTACTAGATTGTTTTGGTGTACGATGGGTATTCTTTTGTGGTGTACTTAATATATTCACAGGAGTGCCTAATCCAGTTAACGTGGATATAGGTACAGTCGTTATAGGTTGATCAATGCCACTATGTTCAGGTGAATAACTTTCATTCGACAAAACATCACACTCATTTCTACTTACTGCAAGATAATTAAAATAAAATATTTTATTTAAAAATATAAATAATATAAATATAAAATCTTATTTCTTAAACTTACAATCTCCTCGTGATATATCTGGATCAATCCTTTTTAATTCATTTTCTATAGCTGAAATATGTAAGCACAGCTCAGAATCTAATGGTTGTTTCAAATTCATTCCTGGACTACGTAATCGATCTAAAGTAAGATAATAACAATTTCTAGCTTTGGAAAGCATTATAATATGCTGTGATCTCATCTCTGATGTTAAGCTTTCTCTAGGCTTAGAACCAACTATCTCATCAGCAAGCATTTTATAAATCTATTTTAAAAAATAAAATTACATTTTTGTTTTAAATAAATTAATAAGAAAAGTTTAAGAAATAAAAGAGATAAAGTAAAGACAAACATCTTACTTGTCCTTGCTGAAATGTAGCTTCCGGGCATTTCAATATTTGCAATGCATCAATAGCCTCTTCATATTGTTTATTACGGACAAAGCGTTGGGCCAAAAGTAATCTACCTTCTTCCAAAGCATTAGTTAATTCTACATTACTCATGTTCTTTCTATTAATATAAACACAGTTAAACATAGTTATATAAATAAAATGTCGTCATATTTTATGTTTAAAATAAATAAACAATGTTTTAATTAGATGAACGACACTTACCCTTCATAATTAAATAATTTCGTATTTGTTACACGTATAGTTTGATTATTTTGCAATCTTTCAAGAAGAGGTATAACAGCTGACCAATAAAGTTCACTTCGAATCTCTAAGGCAGCAATGTCAGGATGTTCTTGATCTTTTTCTTTTAATATTTTAACCTAAATTAACATAACATACATATTTGTATATATTATTTATAAAACTTACACTTTCAAATATTTTTAATAGAAATTTAATATAAGATTTAATAAGTATTTACCCTATGATGAAATAATCGTGCTAAATGTACTAGAATTACTGGATGCAGACCATGATTGCCGATACAACGAATTGTTTCTAAACCTTGTCGTAATGCTTGTCTAATTTCTCCTAAATCTCCTTCTAATGTCTCTTTTCTGGAATACATTTTATATGCATATGACCACCTACGAAAGAGAAATCTTTTATTTAAAAAGATCGAAAATATTTATTAATAAATATAAAGAGAGAAAATTATTAATACCATTTCTCTTGAGCATATGTACAAAGGGAACTAGTTAAATCTGCTGGTAGAGTCGGAAGTCTCTCTCGAGTTATGAAACCTCTTTGCTGCTGATCTTCAACCATTACAGCAGCACATAAAACTAGAAATATTTTATATAAACATTTCTTCTTCTCTAATTATATTATCATTAAGAATAGAAACTATAAGTAATACAAAATAATGTTAGTATGTTTATTTCAGTGACTAACCTGCAGCATTTAAAAATGCATCAATGTCTAATTTACATAATGTATCAGGAGTAGGTTGATTTAAATTATTAACAGAAAATTGCAAGTCTGAGAATACATGAGAATACTGCTGAGGATATGTCTGATCATTCTTCGAAATATTTTGAAGTCGATTTCTAATACCAAGCCAAACATGATGATGTAACGAATCTGGCCATACTTCTTCAGAATCTGAAATAAAACTTAATTGAAATAATTTGAAATTAAATAATATATTTAATTCGAAGAAAGAAATAATCAAATGTACCTTCATCGTAGCGTTTTAATTCATTTGGTAAGCATAAATGAAGGGGTGGATTACAAACTGTATGATTGCAAAAATGTGAAGTTCTTATAAGATTTTGATATAGTTTGGATACAAAAATTCTCTGAAAATTTATATTTATTCATATATATATATATATATATTAAAAATATGTGAATAAGAAACAAATTAATGACATAAATTATTATATACTAAATGAAATATTCATAATACCTGATAAATTCGTTCTCTCCATGCTTCTGTGTAGAAAAATGTATCAATTTTATTCATGAGCTTCTTGACATTATTTCTTGCACAATCTTGGAGAACATTACCTATAAATAAGATAAAATGTTTAATAAATAACTCACATACTCCTAAATCATTAATAAATAATTCATGTGTAAACATACCAGCCTGACTGCATCTGTATGATCCTTCTCTACCCCATACTGGAATTAAATTTTTAAATTGTTCTTTTCCATGGACAGTCCATGAAGCTGTCATATCCATAGGATGTACATGTAATGCAAATAAAAATAGAACTGAACAAAGTCGACTTGTTTCATCCCAACTGCCTTGTTCTCTTTTAGTTTTGCGTAATAACAAACAGGCTAAATGAAAATGTAATTGACCCCACATATGCGTTAGCATTTCTTCCGTGTATATTGAATAACTAGACATATTTCTTGATTTAAACTCATTCAAAGCTTGATCAAAACTGAAAAACAAAATACATATATAAACATATGAAAACAAAAGTTATACAATTTTACGAATAAAAAGATTATTGTAATATTATACAATGCTTTAGTAATAATTTTTATCATAAATTAATGTTGATTTGTAAATAATATTATTTTAAATTAAATGTAATTAATTTTTATAGGAACATACTTAAATACTGCTTGCATTGCTTCCGGTATTGTTTTAGTTATTTCATTGCTGTTTTCCTTCAAAGAAAGTGCTGCATATCTTTCTAATGTGGATATATAAAAGACCCAAAATGACCAATCATCTAATTTGTTCTTTTTGAATTTTCCCAATAACTCGACAAGCGATTGATACCATACAATGCTGTTTCTATGACAATATGTTGATTCCACATTAGCAGCATGATTATAAGCATCTTCTAATCTCTGCTTTGTTATATAATATTTAATTAATTTAACACGCAGTTCCACATCTGTTGGCTTGATGGATAATTCGGCTAGAAGAAATTAATTATAACGAATAATATAAAAATATTGCACCATACAGTTATTATATTTTTTTTACCTTAATGAAATTACATTGTGTTTTTAAATTATTTTTTTAAATAGATAATAATTAAAGACTTACATGCAATTAAGGCTTCGAGATCCTCGCTATTATCATTAGGTCTCTCTGCTGTTAACATTTTTTCTTTTAATTTGAATATTACAGGATGATGTGGATATGGTTTTTCAGCTCTCTTTACCCAATATCTGATACGATTAACATCCGTATCAGTATCCATATCCGCCAATAATTCACAAACTAATATACATAATAATAATATATTAATTATTATATTATATTTATTTCTATAGCATTTGTATGTTATGTAATATATTATTACATTAAATCGACGTATAATTACTTTTTAACAGCTAATTATATACCTTTTAAGACTAAATTATTTTGGCTTCCATCTAATCCAAGAGATATTTTATATTGATTAATTGCTGCTTCTTTTTCTCCTAATGCTTCAAGAATTTGACCTAACAACATATGTGCGCTTGCTGATTCTTCTCGTATTTCCAAATAAGAAGATACATATCTCTTGGCAGATTCATAATCTCCCACTTGATAATATAATTTAGCTATACTATAACAACGGTATGGTTTCTGTAAGTAATATAAAATATGTTACATAGATCAAATAGTATCATAATTACTATTAGTCATTAATATATTTTTAAAGATGTAATTTAAAATACCAAATATAAAATAAATTTTGCATTACAATTACTGTTAATTGGAGAGAATAAACAATTGAAATAATATTTAGACAAAAAAATGATTACACTAATATAAACAGAATATTAAAATCCTTTATATTATTCAGAAAAATATCTACAAAATAGTGCAAATAGTTTCATTAATTAAAATAAACCCCCATTATTAAAATCTTATAAATAAGATGACCTTGATATGATCAATATATATTTCTAGGGAAGAAACAATTATCCTTTGGGAATAATTCGTAGGGTAAATTAAACAAATGAATAAATAAATTAATAAAAAAGAAAGAAATAAAGATTTGAATATGTCATTTGTACGTAACAGTGGTAAAGGACACTTTTTCTAGTTTTACAGGTTATGATGATTTATATACAAGATACTATATCATGGTTAAAAAATCAATACGCTGTAATTAAGTACATTAACAAAAGAGAAATGATCCTGATTAAATATATTGTATGTTAAAAACGAATTAATATGGTTAAAAATTAATGATAATCTTTAACTAAAAAAGTAAATCAGTTAAAAACGTTAAAACCGCGCGCCCGAAACTTGACAAAACGATCATTTATTTCATATACATGGTCTCTCAATTACTCTCTTTGCGCCAAGAAAAAACAAGCCATACCTCATTGTCGTTTTTTAGTTTACGAAAAATATCTTGAACGTGTCGATCAACGTCTTTTTTCGACCGAAACATGTTTCTGGTCACTAAAATGCGTTTTATTTCACAAAATTGCGACAGATTACTTTAACTAGCACTTTTATTATAAGGTGTATAGTTCAAAAACACTAAAATTAATACGCGACGTGCCGCTTTCTACAACGTATAATCTCCTCTTTCAAACGGTTTTCAATGATACCACAATAACGAAATTAAATATTTATAGTATCGCGTATTTTTGTCGCTAGAAATATTTACTAAAATTCTAGTGACATTTGTCCTATATTCATGAAAATAAGCTTTAGAATAACAAGTTTTTTCTGTTTTGTAAATTAATTAGTAATTTTGTATTTCTATTTTTTCGAATAAATTGATTATAGATTATTATCAAGATTTAAACATTCTATCGAATGATATTTATTAAATTCCATATAATCTTTTTAATTTTTAATCGATATTTTACATTTTGTTTTTAACAAATGAATCTTTTCTCTTTAGATCTTTTCAAAAAGTGATTCACAACCTTTCTGTGATTCAAATAATGTAATTTTTATTATAATTGAAATTATATCATATATAGAAAATTAGCAGATGTTATTTATGGCTTTAATATTTGTTTAATCAAGCATTGATAACTTTATTTTATAAATAGATTAACAAAACATAAAAATGAAAATATCATGATATTTAATTTGCGAACCATTGTGTGACTTTATGTTCTATATATATACACATAAGTCAAGCGAGGAATATAATATTTTCGTAATAAATATAATATATTTAATAAAATTCTTAATAATAATTTAACAAATTTTCTTAAAAAACAAAAATAAAATATATTATATTTTATTAATATTATATTATTTCAATAGGATACTTTTAATAGTCAATACATTGTAACACTGATTAGCATTGCATTGTACAGATCAATTTTTAGCGAAGTAAACTGGTTAAAATAAAACTTGAAAGAGATATTTATTAATTGTAATGATACAAATAATTAAAATTAATCGTGAAAGAGAAATTATTATTAGTCTATTTTTAAAATCGTTTTTATGACAATTGACTGAATAGAATAAAAATAAAAAAAATAGTGTCTCATTTGATTCACTTATTGCAATGTCGAAACTTCCGCTTTCAGTATCATAGAGGTTGCTACGCTCCATAGGTGAGAGTAGTTCTGTTAAAGTTTCTAAGTAATTCTCGTAATTTTTCAACAGGATATCGCAAGAAAAAAAAAAGAAACGCGTTTTAAAGGTAATTAAATTATATTCTAAGTAATGTTTCATTGCAGATGGCTGATCATCGGGAAGATACACTCGGATTCACGGGAGCTTCGCTAACCGTTGATTCAATGTGAAGTCGAAATTAGAGAAAGTGAGAGACCTAAGTTTCGTAGGTTCTCACGTCTCATCATAATCATGTATAAGAAATATTAAGAGTTTCTTATGCACGCAGAAAATATGTTTTCCATAATAAGGATATTATTTTAAATCAAAAAATGTGAGTGGCTTCTACCTATTGTCCAGAAATGTTAACATATTGACATACATAATATTTTTGTTTCATTTTGCAATTCTATAACAAAAGAGGTGGAGCATCTATTTTTTCCTTTTTCACACGCATATATACTCTCAACAATAAAGAAGGAAACGATCAATTACGGAAGTTATCAAAATCTCGTTAGATTTTAAACATTTAAATCTTCATTGTGTTTTTAAATAGAAAAGGAAAAAAGAGAGAATCAAAATAAATAAGAATTTCTAGAAAGAAATATTTATTATAGGAGGTGTGCTGCTGTATATTAATAAGTGACGTAAGACAAAAGATATCTAGAATATGTCATATATTCGGAAATGAATAGTGTAATTAAATTCGTATATAATTTATAACCAGAAAGAAACAAATTACATAAGTGTTAGAAAGTGTTTATTCGAAAATGTTTAGAATTCGGAAATTAAATGGAAATTTATCCATCGATGAACAGTTTGGGCGTGATATAAATAGAAATAGTGACGCAGCGACAAGGTGGGGTCTCATCGATCATTGGTCAACGTAGTGTTAATATCGAAGCTCTGATTGGTTGGCATTATATTTACCGAGGGTGGGAATGCGTAGAATGCTGCGCAACAAGCGTCTTGTCAGTTGGAAACCGAGTAGGCAACGTTTGCTTGAGATCCGTTTCACGTACTTGCATCTTCTTGAAGTCCGTAGTTTACGATTTTTCATATATATATGTATATATATATATATATGTACATATATATATTTAGATTGTTTATTTTATTAGAGAATGATTATTTATTATATAATATTATATAAAAGATAAATTTATTAGGCAATACAATATTATTTCAATACTTTATTTCGTGGTAGAAAGTAATCCATATGGTCGATCAGTATAAGACTGATGCCAAGAAGATTTTACTAATACGCCGATGGATTTTTTTCATATATTGAGGTAGCGATTAATAAACGTCAACGAATTATTCGATAAATCATTATTAATTAAGATAATAATCGTATATCAGTTAATATATTTGTATCCTTTGAAATTTGTTCGTTCCCGTTCGTCTATCACTATCAACAAAATGGCGGTGAAAACGAACGTGTCCGATCGCCTGCTTCGCTTATGTGAATTCCAATGGTCTTTTTTTCTTTCGTTGCAGATATACAACATGATTTTATGCCTACTTTTTACAATACATTAATCCATTGAGGATAACTACAAAATGGTGAGTCAATTTATATATATTTATAAAATTTATCGTATGCTATGTGCTTATTCAAAATGGTAGACAAAATTGTACTTATATATCATATATATATATATATATATATTACACACAACGAGCGCGCGCGCGCATCGGCACACAAGTTTTTTTTTTTTTTACATTGGTATTATTGGAAAAGAAGTAGGGGTTAAATGAATATTAGATCAATAACCTTCGTATCATTGATGTTACTGCGATTATGTATATTAATTGTTTCTTATTTTAACTTCGATTACATCATTACATATTTTTGTTCTATTGTTTAATTTATAATTGATATATATGTATTATTCGTTATTATTGATTATTTCTCTTTTTTTTTTTTATTATTGTATGTTTTTTTTTTAAATTAATTTATAATTATTAATTAACGTATTTGTATATATATATATATATGATATATTTTTTCATATTTTACGATAGCATGTAAGACAACACACATGCATATTATTTGTGTATGATGTGAAAAAGAAAAACATGCAAGAATAAATGTAATAGACTTAGAACCATTGAATGGTCGTGATTGATAGACCATACTTACTGATGTAAGTCTAACATTTTTTTTTTTTTTTTGTTAAATAATTATATTTTTGATAAATATGTTGCTTGTGATAAAGATAAAATAATTGAAATTGCATGCAGATAGTTATGACATAATATCTTGTTTATTGGATTTTATTACATATTAAGATTATATAAGTCATATATAAGTCATTGTTCCATTTCTTTAAAAAAGAAAATAATATTAATTATAGAAATGTTTATTTCATTTACAGCCACGCATAGATCCATTATCGCTACTCAAATGTCTCAGTGTTTTACTGGGTTCAACAGGAGGAATCAAAAGTAAAGAAGAAGTTAATCGATTAGCTAATTTAATGACAAAATTTTCGAAGAAATTGGTCTCCAAATGCATTTATATTCAAATTTTAAAAACTACTAACACCGACCTACTTAGTCAGTAAGTAAAGAATATTTAATTTATTTTATTATTTTTAATCTATTAAATTATTGAATTATATTAGAATATATAATACAATAAAACCTCGATTATCCCAATTCTCCTTTATTCAGTTATTCCATTATATGAACTCCCTGTTATTTGAACATATTTTATATATTATCATTATTCATAATAATCGTTATCTAAATTCTGAATTAGAATCATAACATTGAATCATGCATGTGATGAACTTTAATCTCAAACTTATAAACAAATCAAACATTTTGTATTTATACAAGTCAGTTTTATAATCGTTACATAATGTCGAATGAAATTGTTTCTGCATTGCATGCAATACCAGGATGTGGTGATCGGTAATACTAAAGTTATGAAAATTCTTTAATTGATCGTAACACTGTACATACTTTAAATGAAATGCATTTTGATTAAACTGCAATAATGATGTTCTACAACATTTTGAAGCATTCAAAGCCTTGGAAAAAGGACTGAGATGATATGAAGCACAGAAATAATCTAATTTGTACAAATTAAAGTAGTTAAAAAAATTATAAAAGGGAGAGTAATATCGAAATTCAAAGTTAGAAATGTATCTATTTTATTATTCAAAAATTCTCTTAACTAAACAGTCATGTCTTCTTTCATCCCTGATTAATTCGAATAATCGAGGTTCTACTTTAAAAATAACATTTTTCAAACATATATAGCATGTCAAGACACACACACGTACTTTATCGTATTTGTGTAAAATATAATTACATGCAAAAGTAAATAAGACCCAAAACCATTGAACAGTTGTATTAAATGAACTGTACTTACTGATATGAGTCTTACATTGATAGACTTATTAAAGTTTTATTTTTTATGTTATTCATATTTAATTAAAAAAATCCATACAGATATTATAAAATAAGTATATTATTGCGTAGATTTATGGCTGCCGGTGGATGGAATCTTATTCATATGTGGCTGACCGATGGTATTCTTGCTAAAAACTGGGCATTAATTCAAGAACTTTTGGAACTTTTGTTATTATGTCCAGTGGATGTAGACAGATTAAAAAGTAATAATTGTCCTAAGCTTATTAAAGGATTATCAAAAGAAGGAAGTCATCAAGGTGTTAGAATATTAGCTAGTCGTCTTGTTGAACAATGGCTGAAAATAGTAAAAGGCGAAGTCGCACCAAACTCTGTACCAGCGCATATTATGATGACGCCGATGCAGAGTAGCAGTACTGGTGCACAAGGTATAATAATTCAATCAGCTCAACAGCAATCACAACAACAACAACAACAGTATTCTATTAATAGTGGTATACAAAAAGGCTCAGATGATGTGGAAAGTGTTACTGTACATGTACAAGACTTGCAATTTACTCAAAGTCCACAATCCATTATTACAGCGACGCAAGTTCAACAGCAAGTGGATGAACAACACCTACAAGAAAAACATCCTATGCAATTACAAGTTGTAACTAAGCCACAACAAGCACAACTGCAACAACAATCTAGCCAATTTTCAACAAAAAAACAATCTTTTGTTGTAGTGACTTCCCAATCGTCTGTTCCTTTATATAAAATAACAATAAGGGATGGGAAACAAGTTCTTACTAAAGTAGAGACTGATGCAGCTAACATAAACAGTGTTTTAACATCAAATAACACAAGTTTAGACGTAAATGGGGAAATAAAAGACACAGTGTTTACTTTAAAAGAAGATCAAGGAAAAAGAGATAATCTTGAGAGCAGTGAGGGAGGAGTGCACAGTGAACAAGACGATACGACAGAAGTGCAATCAGAACAATCCAATCATATTTCTAGTGAAGTGAAACAATCTACAATAAGTTCTAAGGATAGTATTGAAACAGTAATTAGTAACGTTAAAATAATAGAAAATAAAGATAATAAAGACATTGTTTCAAGTGACAGCAATAAATCTAGTGACAAAGAGAATCGAGATTCTCATAAAAAGGATGATAAAAAATTAGGTAGTGGTTCAGATAAAAAAAGTGGTAATCATCATCACAGTTCATCATCGTCATCTAAAAGTTCTTCATCTAAACACAACGCAAGCTCTAGCTCGCATCGTAGTAGTTCTACGTCTCATCGTTCTAGTAGTCACCGTTCTTCATCGAGCAGTACATCAAAAAGTTCCACTTCTAAGGATAAGTCTTCCAGGGAAAAGCATCACTCCAATTCATCCAGTAAGCATAATTCTAATAATAAAAATAAAACTGACAAAGAGAAAGAGAGAGAAAAAGAAAGACAAAAAAAGGATCAAGCAGAGAAAGATAAAGCTACATTAGAGAAAGTACAAGGTCAAGTTTTAAGTTCCAAGTTAGGAAAAATACCTAAGAAAAAATCGGAAGACAATAAAACAGGAGACGGAAGCAAGAAGTTAATCACTGATTCTCGAGATAGTTCTAAAGAAAATAAGGATAAAATAGAAGGGAAAAAGTCTGTTATTATGTCAGAAAAAAAGAATATTTCCATTTCCATCGAGAGCAGAAAAAATACACAGGACTCAACAGCAAGACCAAAGACTGTCAAAACGTTTAACTCTAAGTTTAGGTCTACTGGTCTTGAAGAAGAAGTTAAACCTCCACCGCCCAGATCAGCTAAAAAATCAAGCCCTGTTGCTGATAAAAAGATGATGCCTCTTCCAAAATTGCCTGTTTTGAAGAGACCTTCTCCGCTAAGAGAGGTACTTGGCCCTTCAGATAAAAGAGCAAAATTGTCATTGGATTCTCCGACTACACCACCAAATGAGGAGAAGAAAGGAGGCATTAAATTGATACCGCCTAAACCTAAACGTAAGTATATATCAGTATCTCATATGCTAAATTTAATAATTTATTATTATAATACCTACACTCTCTTTTTCAAATGCAAAATAATAGAAATATTGGTAAAAAAAAAATTAACTAGTCAGAAACTAACTATTTGCCGATGTTCTAAGGTTCTTTATTTGTTTTTTAATCTATACAAAATTTTTAGCTTCCTTTTCGTCATTTTCTTATGAAATTTTTTATCCTCATTTAAAATATAACATTTATTTGCCAACAATATAGTCTTCTTACGAATAGTATTTAATTTATTATTTTTTTTATCTATATATGTTTTCTCTTGTGTATACAATACTTTTGCTTTACTTTCTTGACTTTAAAGTAACATTAAATTTGTTATATATTTTATAATTAGAAATTTGTATTATTTAATTTATTTCGTTTATGTTCACTTTCTATGTTTATGAAATAGATTTCGTAAAAAATTAGTTATTCATTTTTTTTTTCTATGTTTAAAAATTTTGTATATATAATAGAAATATATGCAATATTATACTTTCATTCTTACTTTATAACAATAGCTTTTACATACATTAAAGATGTTTCAATTATATGCTTATCTTGTGTGAATAGAATTTTCGTCATATTGCAACTAATTTAGATATATATCTTGACTGTTCTATGTCTTAATACTTTTTGCATAGTATTAAAATAACGTCGACATTAAATAAAAACATAAGAAATATATCATGTAAACTAATTAAAGTTATATTATTATTCTATTTGATTTTACTCATAGAATCTACTTACATAAATAAATAAGCATTCAATCTAATAGCTTACAACACTATCTTTGAACATCGGCATAGTTACATCTTATTAAGAATTATTACTAACTCTTTAATATTGAGTTTGCAGGTGGATGCCTCCAGGAAAAATACAAGCAGAAAATAATTTTCATAATGCTTTATATACTGATGAGATATCAATATTGTGATATATCAAAATTCATTCCTTTTGTCAACCTTTTTCTTCTTCTTCTTCTTCTTCTTCTACGATCAATTTATTTTATTTTATTATTGTTTCATTTCTTTCTCTTTTTTTTTCCTCATTTTATTTTGTACGTTAGATTAACTCATCGCTTTTTACAGGCATTTCTATAGACTTGTATTTTTTAATGCCACCCTATGCTACTTCCCTAAATATTACTATTAGAGTCTTATAGAAATTTTAAGAAAATCAGTTTAGTTCCACTTCTATGTGATATTGGATGAAATGGATATCTCTCTCTCTCTGTTGTGCTTTCTCTACATATAATCATCATCATTGTCATCGTGTCTAGAAGAACGAAGAAATCTTCTCGACTTCAATTTATTTCGTATGTTATGTGGATCCTGCAAGGTAATCTTGGTTTAAAAAATATTAATTAAAACACATATATACACACACATATTTTTTTATATATATACATACATATATACATACGTAAAATTTAATATAGATAAATTAGTGCCGTGAAATAAAATAGTATGAATAATTGATATGAATAGATGTGATAAAGAAAATAGATCGGTTTCGGTAAATGTGATCTAGTCAAAAATATAGTATAAGATAAATATTTGAGAATGAACAAAAAATGAAGTTACGTTGAGAAGCTTTATCCGTAATAACGAACGAACAGAACAGAATAACTGAAATTAATTAATTAGATTAAAAATTAGTGTAAAAAGTTAATTATCGAAATTTAATTGTTTCGGGTTTATTTAACCCTTTCGCTACAGGCGTGTTTTCCGTGCAGCAAGCAACAAAACTACACGCTGCATAAGATCGATCTTTTCAGCGACCGAGATTGATTATTCTGATGCATTTCCTTTGCTGATATTGAGAGATTTTTTTCTTCAGAGAGACGTCCAGAGTTGGGATACTTGATGTGCCATAACTGCATATGCTCTTGTCGTATGTAAAATACGCGGAATTTTATGAAGAGCGACTATATTCGCCCGTAATACCTTCGTATGGCATCTTATGTAGAGTGACTATAGTCGCTCTAGTAACGAAAGGGTTAAGAAAAAAAAAAAAAAAAAAAATAAGAAAAAAAAAAATAGTTCAACAGTGAACGAGCACACCGATGCGAGTCCACTACTTCAAGATATTACTAAATCAACCCTAGGTAAGGCAATAAATAACTTTTGTCTGTACACATTTTTTCTCCCTTGTACATGTACACCCTATTTAAGCATTTTAAATAAATTGATCAGAAATCTGGAAATATTGAACTTTTGGGTTTCTGCTATATATTTTGCTCATTAAATAATGCTTGATAAAGCAACAAATTTACCGTGGGCCCATCCAGATTTCCATTCTCTCGGTTTTAAATATATTCCAATAATTATTACAAAAAGGTTGGGTTCAAATTATTTTATACAAACATTCGAAATGGTGTCGCTATTTTTTTCTATTTTTTTTTTTTTTTTTGTTTCCAAACATTAGACAATATCCTCCCCAAATTTTTAACATTAAATTAACTCATTTGCATACAAGTGCGGATATATTTACAAGATACAACTGTCTGTTATCACCGAGTGCCAAATTTTTCTGCATAAGAGATATATTAGTTTTTCTATCTGTGAGAATTTGAGCGGTGATACTGGGTCAGTCGACAATTGAACGTTGCTGATGTTTGAACAAGGAATCTTAAGTAGAATCATGATGCAAATTGGTTAAATTAAATCAAATCGAATTAATGAAACAACAATACTTTTGCTATAAAGGGAATGTACATTTTGTATATCTGGAATTTTAATACAATCTAACTGCATTATACAATGCTTTTTATAGAATGCTTTTATTGATATTTCATATATTATATTGAAGCTTGTTATACGATAAAATTATTCGTATAATTTTCTCTCTTACACTATGTTTAAACCCTTAACTTACAACTACGGGCATAGCCTGTAGTACAATGATTTGACAAATTTTTCTTTATCTATTTACTTATTTAATCTCTCTTACATATTCTATATACGAATAGATCAAACTTTTGGAACGTAAATCGTAGGTTAAGGGGTTAATTAAATGAAATTTCGTGATAGTCTCGTTGTGTTCAGTCAATTAAAAATTTTACAATTTTTAATAAAGCTACAAAAATTTACTGTAGAACAAAAATAAAATAAAATGACTCATTTACGATGCCATTTCGAATTTTTGTTATTCTTTGAGAAAAAAATAAAAAAAAATAAAAAACTATTATAATTATTGATAGAGATAAATAAATAGATAAAAATAGAAAGATACAATAATAATACAATGCAGTTTCGTTTCTTGTTATTATAATTAAATTCACAAAATATTCACATATTATTATTATAATCGGTGCATTATTTAACTGATTGTGAGAGAGATGAAGATAAAAATAAAAAGAGAGAGAATTGAAATTTGTTTGGGACTGGTTAAGTCCCAAGATCCTTGTTAGAGAAAGAAAGAAAGAGAGAGAGAGAAAGAGAGGGAGAGAAAGAGAGGGAGAGAAAGAAAGGGTATGTGCGTGAAATAAAAAAAAAAAAGAGAAAATCGTATGCGTGAGCGAGCGAATAAGAAAAACTAGCACAAACAATGATCTGAAAAACAAATTGAAATAATAATATAAATGATTATATTTTAATTCTAAATATATATATATACGATTATATATTTAAAAAAAACGAAGTCAGAAAAAAGAAGGAAAAAATGCACGGAAATTGGAAGCTGCGTTTTCGGCGCCATCTTTATGGCAAATGAAAAAGGGGCCTTAAGGATGAAAAGCTCCTTGTAACTACCTGTAGTCCGATGATGATGTCTCTTGATGGTGTTCGATGCTTCCGATGACAACGACGTGGTGATATTAGTCACTTTCTTCGTTGCATATTTTCTGCGATCACGTATATTTTATATAGAAAAGCTCGGAAACTATATATAAAAAAAAAAAAACAAAAAAAAAAGAAAGAAAGAATGAAAAATTATAAGAAAGATTGAAAAAGATACGAGCCAATAAAAAAAAAAGGAAGAAACTAGAGAGAGCAAGGAAATCTTAACTATTTTATTGTTACTAGATTTCCGGAATTATAGTCAGTGGAGGGGGGGGGGATGCAAGGGCTAGAAAAGAAAGAGCAAATTTTGTGCACATAAAAAATTTCACGAATAGCCTTGCATATATATTATATATATATATTTATATTTTGCATTCTATATATATATATATATATATAAATATGCACACGTTTAAGTTCGCGACGGGAAAGAAAAAGAAATTGGGCACGATTTGTATATTATTAGAAATAAATGGCGGCACGTTGTAAACGCGTGTTCGGGGAAAAATTTGTTTCACGTGGCGGGAAAATTAAAAAGAAAAAAAAAACAACGATTTTAGACAACCATTAGAACAAAAACAGATGATCCTTACAAAATTCTCTTACGCGCCGTTCCTAAAGAAGAAGAAATAATTGGATATATGCATTTTGATATAATCTTTGCGCGATTATTGGCTCAGTTATTATGATTATCATTAAAATACGTGCTGTTAACGCGATCGCTGTCGATTCGGATATTTCACGATCTATAATTCCTTTCTTATCTCATTCTTGGCGGGAATTTTAATATATATATAGTATTGAAATAATATTTAAACAATGAGAGAGGAAGTATGTTCTTTTCGCGTGTCGTGTAATATAGTACTCGTGTGTTGTATATTTCAGTAAGATTATTATATTTGTCTAAGGGCCTTTTGCTAAAATAACAAACAAATAAGTTGTGTATGTAGAAAGAAGAATAAAAAAATAACTATGAGACATGTAGCATAATTCGTGTTAACGTCACCATCATTGATTCGTCGTCGTCTTCTTTTTCTTCTTCTTATATATATATTCTTATTATTATTATTATTTTTTTTTTATTTTTATTTTTTTTTTATTTTTATTTTTTTTTTATTTTTATTTTATTATATTGTTCTACTGATCATCGTAATATCGAAATTGAAATCAAACACGTGGTGATTCGTAAGGGTGAAAAAGAGGGGTAGTAAAGAAGGGGAAAAAGAAAGAGCGTAGTAGTGGGGTTGTTTCTCAAGGAAATGATTGGGTAGTGGTGTGCAGTGTTTGCGCGATTAGGAAGTGCGCAATGGCGCTCTGCGCTTTCGGTTCACTCGGAAAGATCCGAAAGTAGACGAATGTTTCGCGATGTTGTCGCATCGTACTTCAAACTACGCGCACCACGTGCGCGGGCGCATCATCAGAGATTCATTCTCACCACCGTATATTTATATAGAACAGAAATAATTACTCGCTTATTCCTATTAACCGTATATATATTGCATCTTGCGCTTATTCTTTGCACATTCGAATCATGTTTAAATAATTATAATTTTTTTTTTATTTTTTTTTTTATTTTTTTTTTTGAGCACTTTAAAATTTTCTTTTTCTTTCTTTTTTTTTTTTTTTTTTTTTTTTTCTTCTTGTTCTTCTTCAAATTTTGTCTTCCTTCTTTTTTTATAAGAGAATATAAATATGGAATATTAAATGAAATAATTTGAAAAAAGAAAATAGAATCATTACGAAGAAAAAAGATATATCGATACGTTCGTGAAGAATTGTATCAAACCCTTGCAAAATTTTGGTTCGTTCTTTCTTTCTTTCTTTATTTTTTTTCTTTTCTGTAATAATTACGAAAGTTATTGTTATCAACTGCGTTTCGCTTTTTATATCAGTTATGCAAAAAAAAAAAAACAAAAAAAAAAAAAACAAAATAGATACTTTGTACGTAGCTATACAAATATTATTGATCCTGTAATCGATTTGTATTTTTTAGTACATTGGAATTGTATCTAGTAAATGTTTATTGTTACTGTTTTTATTATATCTATTGATTTCAGTTGGATCTAATTCGTGGAACAGCCATTTGATTGCAATATTTGTGATGATGTGAATCCTGTTCAAAGAAGAAGAAAAAAAAAAGGAAATTAAATAAGAGAAGAAACGAAATAAAAGCGGTAGTGTGTGTTCTTTGCTCAAACTATACCATTACTCTAGTTAATGATAAATTCTATTTGAAACGCAAATTAACATATTGTTGGAAATAATTTTTCTAAATATTTTATTATTAATTTATTTATTACAATCATTTTTTTTTTATAGGGTTTCATATAGTTGCGCCTTTTTTTTGTATGCTATAGGACATACATATATATATATATATATAATATCACATTAATACAAATATAGAGGGTACGAGATATGCTTTGTCACAATTTATTTTGATGATAAATAAAAAATAGTAGAAAGCTCAATTTTCAATTACTTGATATTCATTTCTATTAATATTTGAATTATAATAAGGGTACAATTTAATCAAAGGATATTTTTCTTGTTTTGAAAAGAACTTTTACAGAAAAAGAAATGAATAAATAATAAAGGTTCTGTAATAAGTATTTTTCAATTAGTCAATTGAATTCTCGCGCGCTATTTAAAAAACAAAAGATACAAATGAAGAAAACTAGACGAGTAAGAGTATTGTTTCCTGTATATGCGCGCGCGCGTTTTCCTATCCATATACATACGTATATATATATATATATATTAAATACGTAATATATACGATATACGTATAGAATTCGTATATAATTTATTTTTAGCATATACCATCGTTACACATTTACATAATGAAACGTAATAGCATTTTATGTATATTAAAAGTCTTCTCTTTATATAACATGAATTTCAATTATTTAACAATAACAACACAACACAACAATAAAAAAAAAAAAAAAACGATACTACTTCACGAGTATTTAAACGAAAGTAATTTATTTAATCGATCGATGTCATTTATTAAATAAATTAATAAAATTCTTTAGAGATCTCTTGGAGTTAAATCATTTCAACAATCGATAAAAGTTAATTAACTTCAAACGATTTGGCTGAATTTACTTACGTTTTAATACATTCCAGTCTTACATTTTAATAATTTGCGTGATAAAAGAAATAAAGATGGAGAGAGAGAGAGAATGAGAGAAAGAGAAAGAGCGAGTCGTATTTGTATTTATTTATTTGGATGATTTATACGATATTCGTTTTGAGAATAATAGCAACAACAATAATAATAATCATAATAATAATAATAATAATAATAATAATAATAATATTAATCATAATATTAGAAAACAATATGAGAAATGCGATTTCAAACAAATGTTAAATAAAATGTTGATAAAGTAAAATAATTTCATATATAACGTTTTATTGATTTAACGAAACGTTTTTACCTTAATGTTAATTGATTATTTCTAGAAATACTGAATACTGAATACTGAAGAAGAAAAAGAAAGAAAGAAAAAAAAAGAAAAAGAAAGATTATATATATACATATATATAGATAGATATATGTAAACGCGTATTCTCATCGTTTATAGTTTTTTTAAATAAGTTTGGATTTTATTTTATTTTTTTTTTTTTTTTTTCAGACACTATAGATATTAAAATTATTATAATTTAATATACACGACGCGCGGTATACACTAATACGTTGTACATTCAATTGAACTCACTAATCTTTGACGTTAAAGAACAACTCGTTTGTTTAAAATTAAACGAGACGATTAATTTTCATTCGCGTTTTTTACTAACAGATAAACAATATTTTTGTTAGATAAGATTGTTCCTCATTAATTGAATACGTCGAGTTGTTTATTTTTTAATACATAGAATTTATTCTCTTGATTAGAATAAACACGCGTTATCTTCCGCAAATGTAGTTTATAATTATTATAGACTACAATAATTGAATGATTATGCCGTATTTGTTGCGTAAAGAAATTCATTGTTTGTATTTTTTATTAATATAATAATGGTTACAAAGTAACTTTGCGATTTATTGTGAAAATAATTTCGTATCTAAAGCTAACTCTCGTATTTTTGTTTCGTTATATTTTGATATCTTATGAACTTCTTGTACAACAACTATTGCACTTTAAATATATAATGTAAATGTATCCGATTACAATTCGTAACACTATTTCGAAATAATGAAAAGATTTCGTTCGATTAGATTTAGATTCATTTGAATAAACTTATTGTAAAATAATTGTATTTATTTAATATGTAATAAACGTTTATTCCTCTTCATTATATAATAATAAAAATAATATGTTAATGTGAAATTTCTATTTAATTATTTTTTTCCAGATCACATCGGATTATCTGTATGAGAAAAGCACGCAAAGAGAGAGATAAAATTTCATTAAAAATTTATAGGAAAATTGCATTATATATATATTATATTTGAATTTTAATATTTAATATATTTTGTTCTTCACAAACGTATGCTATAATATTTTATTTATAGTAGTTGCAATTTTGAATGTTACAGCGATGATGCTACAAGAAAGTGATATGTTTATGGATGCATTAACTGCATCGACAAAAAGTAAAGAACCAAGGAAACGAAAACGTAGAACTTCAATAACGAAGGAAGGCTCGACGGATTTGAAAAAACAGGAATTAAGTATTTCTGATAATCGCGAAATTACACCACCACCTACGTCACCATCGAGTATTGAAGAAAAATCACCTGTTGTCGTCAAGCCTAATTTCAAGGTATTCACATTTTTTACATACAATTTACAAATGCTATTTTTAACAATTATTTTTCTCTCTGTTTTATTTATTATTTTTTTTTTTAATAACAATATATCTTTTTATATATTTTCAAATATGAAACTTTTATATAATTGTTCGGGTAATTATGAAAGGGAATTTAAATCATGAAAGTTGAAAATACTGATCCTTTGATTCATTCATATATTACAATTATGTTTCTTATCGATTAAAATCGTATAATAAATTTATTTCATTTTTTGTTTGTTGACTTGATGAAAAAATCATAAATACAAATTAGCTTGTAATAATATTTTATTCAAATTGTTAAATATTTCCTTCGTTTGTTTTTGTTTTTTAATAGTTTTATCAAGATACATTAGAAACGGAAGAAGACAAGGAACAGAAAGATAAGGAGAGTAACGATGAAGAAATTAAAAGAGATAAAGAAGATATTATTGATAATCAAAAGGATACCGGAGATAATAACGATGATGATGGAAGCAGCAGTACGTATTTTTATTTGTTTATTTATTTTATCATATTTACGCATGCGTAATCAAATAAGTCATCCTTCTTTTTTGTGAAGTACTATTTAAAAATAAATTTCTTTTTTACAAAATAAATAAAAAAACAATGAATATTTTGATAATATTTTAGCACCAACGCCAGAAGATGATACCGAAGAAATAAAAACATCTGACTCCCCGGAAGACGCATCGTCCGATGGTTTGGATTCACTGAAGAAAGAAATTATTCCTTATCCTGAAATTCGTTACGTCGATGGTTTAAGAAGTGTTCTTTTATTACAAAAACGTAAAGGTCCTAAAAAAACGTTAAAATGGAAGACAGATTTAGAATCTATACGTTACTTCGAATTGGATGAAACAGAAAGGGTCAACGTAACGAAAACTTTCACTGATATGAAACAAATGGAAAAACAGAATGAGAGGGAGGCATTCCAAATGGCAAGAAAATTAAGTAAGTTTAAGTTTTAATATTACTTATGATAAAAAGATAATAGTTTTGAAAACATTAAAGATAATATATATGTATATATATTGATTATTATTAGGTAATGAAGACTTGATGGAGGAGAGAACACGATGGAAACCATTAATTCCTATTGACTTACCTCCAGCATTGGTAGAACCTGGTAAAGATAGTAGAGAGAAGGATATCCAATATGCTAGAGAAAAGGGGATTCTTCAAGCACTTTATTTCAATCGAAGCATGTGAGTTTATTGTTTGATCAATATTTATTGACAATATAATTAATGATAAAATATTGAATGGAAAAATAATTATTTTTCTTTATTATTTCTATAGGATACCTGATTCAGCTGCGGAACCAGACGAAGAACGTCATCATATTATTACTGATCCAAAAGTTATTCCTTTAGATGATTTAACTGGCAATAAGGAGAGTGAAAAAGACTTTACAAATATAACGTGGCCAGAGCCAAAACCTCAATTACCCGTTCAGCCTTCCACAATAACAAACTTCCATTATCCACCTTATTCACATACTCAACAGCCAATGATGGCACCTGTTGGTCCACAGGGTACAATGAATCCAATACCTCAAATTCCTCAACAGATGATGCCTCCAACACATATGGGGCAAATGGCACCTGAATTAGCAGGTCCAATACCTGCTGCTACTGGTGGTGGTGGTGGTGGTTGGAGAACGGGAGATGGAAAAGTAGTTGTACCTGATGTAGCAATGAATCCAATGGCAAATATGCCTGCAGCATTTCCTCAAGGAATGGAAAATGGTCCAATGCTACCGCCTGGTATGATGGGACCACCACTGTATAATCAACAAGATGGTGGTTATGGTATGATGGGGCCAGAAGATATGGGATTCAATAATATGAATCCAAATAACTTTCAAGGTCCTCCAGGACCAATGTATGGTCCTGGTCCTGGTCCTGGTCCTAACTTTCAAGGTCCGAGAGGTCCAGTGGGCCCAATGCATGTTAGAGGTAGAGGTGGTCCTGGTCCTGGTCCTGGTCCTGGTTGGTATAGAGGTGGTTGTGGTCCTGGTAGGGGGGGAGGTTGGAGGGGTGGCGGTGGTGGATGGAGAGGAAACGGTAAACAACCGCGTGTTTGCATGCAATTTACCAAAAATGGTTATTGTAGAGTAGGCGAGAAATGTCAGTACCTTCATCCTGGCGTTAATTGTCCACCATTTTGAAACACTAATTAATCTTCATGGATTTTCCTCCTGTATGTGGCTATCGAATGAAGATACTGCCATTATTCATCTCTCTGAAAAAGAGAATGAAGAAGAAGAAAGAACAACCAGTGATGCGTCGTACGAGATTGAATTATCACAGAACTTCAAATACGAAATAATCAATTGCTCTGCTTAATTATTGATGATTAGTTGAAACTGCAGATAGCAGTAAAATAAGTTGTTAATTTGTCAGATAATTTATTATTTTTGAGTATAATCAAATTAGAATTTTTTTTTTTTAAACCACAACAAAATTTTTTTTCTTGTGCAATGATATTATTACTATATGATTGCATGGAGAATTTTATCTACTGAGCAGCTAAAAACAGTTAATCTTTTCCTTGAATATTCAAGTTCTCGGGTATATATAGTAAAAGCACCTCTAACGATGAGAAGAGAGATTTAATTTTCGAGAAAAATTATGAAGCCCTAAAAAACCGTATTTAGTTATCATGTATAAGAAGTATTCTCTTATAAATTATATTTCAATTTCCACACTCACGCGTATACACATTCGTGCATTTGTTTAATTAATTATTAAACAGAGTTATCGATCTTTAAAAATGGACAAAAATTCATGAGGTTTCTTTTAACTGCTGGCCAGTTAAAGGTTCCCACATATTAACTTAACTGTTACACACTCACTTATCTACAACGCACACATACATACATACATACATACATACATACATACATACATACATACGTACGACATTCATACAACTATGTGCCCTATACTGAAGCAATTAGCAGGACATTTTATAAATGACTATTCTTGTAATATTCTTAGAAAAGGTCATCCAAAATGTTTAAGCTTGTAAACAGGTTCTTCGAGTCTTCTACTTCATATTTATGAAATAATTTTGAAGAGAACTACTAATAATGAGATAAATCTCTAGGGGAGGGATAAACGATATATATATACAGATTTATAACCATGTTGTTTATCTATCATCGGATCGTCTTAAAAAAAAACAAAAAGAAGAAGAAGAAGAAAACGCAAAAAATTCTAATACTGCCTGGTTGCAGTTGTAAAAAAAATAAATAGTACTATAGATTAAATCTGCAGAAGGAAAAGAAAACTTTACTACTTATTATTCTACTTTTGCATGCATTATCATTAACAATTTCTCTATGACTCATAGATTTCTATCTTCTAAAGGAAAAGAAAGGGAAAAAAATAATAAAAAAAAAAATAAAAAATATAAAAAACTAAAAAATAAAATTTAAAACGTATAGCTTATTGCTATAGCGGTGTGATTTTCAAATCTGACTTATATATCGCAGAACACCAAAAGTTCAAATAGTGAAATAATACTTTTATTATTAAGATTATCTTGAAAACGAAATAATGTAATATAAATCTATATATATATATATATAATTGTGTGTGATAGATGCGTATCTATATATCTATATATATATATAATTGTGTGTGATAGATGTATATCTATATATCTGTATACATACATATATACATATATATCTATACACATA